GCCATGAGTTGATCAGACCTAGAGAGATGGGTATGTAAACTGAAGGGCAGTTTAGTAATTTGTAAGTGAATTCTAATGACTGCAGTGCTTAAGAATTCTGTCCTGGGCATTGTTCTGCCTCTTTACAAGAACATTGGAAACTGAATTAATCATCAGAAGATTATTTTTTGAACATAAGATTTGGATAAAAGAAGGTAGATATCTTGTGATTCGTTTATAGGCTAACATTCCTCCCAAACGAGACACCTCTCACTCTCCAGGTCCCAGTCGTTCCCGTCTTCCAGATTCTATGTCCTTCCCCCAGGCAATGGGAGACACACTCTACCTATTCTGCTTCTCTGATTCCTTCCCCACTGTAGTCTTACTTAGGGATTGATACACCTTTTCCAATAGATTTGTTAATATCACTGCCTATGCCACAATCCAGTGTGATTCTGGATTCATTCTAGAAAATGTTTCTGTCCAGTTGAGTTGACTTTATGCAAATATGAGCTAATCCTTTGATTTTTGCTTTTGTTAGGTTAAACTGCAGAATTCTAAGGATGTTGTCTGCGGTTGGCCTTCTAAGGCATGCCATGACTTGGTGCTTAAATGTCATAATGGTATATATAATATTAAGGAATCTCAAGACTTCACTTTCATTGAAGATCAGTATGTTTGGCAAATGGCAGTTTGTTCCAGTCTGGTTTCTATTGCTGCAGATGTATGTTACAGTCTAGAAGTCCATAGATGCATAATTTGCAGCATTGCGATCATTTTACAGGGAATGGAGCTGGGAGCGTAGTTTATAGTTCTGCTTCTCACTGATGGTTACATCAGTTAGGCAAATCTCTTAATTTATCTGGGCCTCAGTTAACTCAGCTGTAAAGAAACTGTTAGAACAGGTATTCTCAAATCATAGACAACCTCCAGTTCTGTTGCACATAAGTATTCTGGTCACATTTTTAATTGGACATGAAAAAGAATTTATCCAGCCCTGGGCTTCACAGTGTCGGAGGGAATAAGGGCATGGATTAGCTTTCACAACAGTTTTCAGAATCTTAGTGATTTATAACAACAGATATTTATTTCACGTTCATATTTTGTCTCAGCAATTGCAGGTCAGTTGCTTGGCCTCCACTCAGGCTGTAAGTTGGTTTTTGATACCCTTTTGGCATATGCTATGTTTTGGGACCAGTCTAATGGTGGAAACTCCAGCTGCAAGTATGCTTATTTTCATGACAGTGGAAAAGTGGGAGACAGACTCCAAACACAGAATCATATTTGAAGCTTCTGCTCAGATGTGGCGTCACTGTGTTTACTTACGTTCTGCTGCCAAAAGCAAGTCATAAGACCTGGCCCAGCATCAGTGGGCAGGGAAATAGACCCTTCATCCTCCTTCTTGGGCAGGGGTGAAGTTGACAGAGTTAATATATCCAAACAATACAATCTACCAGAGAGGTAAAAACTCATAGAGGTGTTCCCTGTTACCAGTTTGGGGGGAAATGAAAGACAATGAAATGTTAAGAATTTTGTGTGTATTCTTCTCTCTGCCATTGTAACAGCTAATTTCCTTACAAAAATTGTTGAGATTAATTTTTAGTGACAGCCTGGAGTTGATTTGGTGACTGTCAAAGGAAGTATATGGAAGACAAGTCAAAGAACCTACCTCAGAATATGATCCCCTTCAGAATTCATTTAGAATTTTGACACACTCAGTTTAATATTGGGAAGTTTAATTTAATCATATCAAAATAATTCTGTGTAAGCATTTGAGAAAAAACTAACAAATTAAATGACTTAGAGTTGGGAACCTGAACTGAAACTGAGGGTTTTTAATCAGGTTCTTCACAGAGATATAATTGTATCTCTGGAAAAAGTATATGTCTGATAATGCACCTGAATATCTATTTCAAACCATGGTAGAGTAGGTTTTTATCAGTTTGCTTCTCTTTGAGAGAACCTTTACCATCCGTGGTTTGGTAGCAGTTTTATTGTACAACAGTGATTACAAGAAGACCTTTTAAGATGAAAGGGGTTGAATATTAGGCTTAACAAAACTTGTTTAATTGGATATGAAACCAAAGCTTTCTCTGTTTAGAAATAATCTACCAAGTATGAAGGAGCAACAAGATGATAAAAAGGTCTATGATCATGATTGAGGCACTAGTGTAGAGTTCTGTGAACAAAGAACACAGCTGATCAGTAATTTTGAAGAAGGAGGTTTAAAGGTATTCTATTTTGCTTTGATCAAAGAAAATGATTTAAAGTGGCTGAACTCTTTGTATGAATTTTATAAGTGCTGCACAACGACAGCATTGGTAAATATGCATTTTATATTTATTCAACCAAATATTGAGCACCTCCTATTGACCAAATATTGTGCTAAGTACTGAATATGGATTTTTAAAAAAGAATTAGATGAACAGTGAACTCCAGTCATCAAATCCTAGTGTTATCTTCTGCCTGGCTCCTCACGTGTAGATCCTTCCCAGAGATCTATTCTTGGCCTTTTCTCTCTTTGTAGTTGGAAATTTCCATTATCATGATGTCAGCTCTCACTTCTGTCAATGTAGATGATTCTGCAATTTAGACAAAGCAGTGGTCTGTAATTCCCTGAGCTCTGTTTCCAGATTCCACATGGGTCTTCAGCATTTTTTACCAGTATCCCATTTTCCTCTTAGAATTCTTCTTCTTTTGTACCCTATTTCGGTTGAAAGGCATCATCATTACCCCCTTATCTGCTCTTACAACTGGTCTTCAACTTGAACTCTCCTCATCTGCTCTTATAACCAGTCTTCAACTTGAACTTCATGATTTCCAATATCCAGTCAAGCCAAGTATTAGTTGCTCTGCCACCATGAAATGTCTTAAATGTCCCTCTCCTTCCCACTACCACAACCAAGTTTAGAGCCTCATTCTGTTTTTCCTCAAACTATTGTGATGGGTGGTTAACTAATTTTCTTTCTTTGGCCTCTTTCTT